TAAGGACTCTGGGTGGCACCCGCTTAAGGACTCTGGGTGGCACCCGCTTAAGGACTCTGGGTGGCACCCGCTTAAGGACTCTGGGTGGCACCCGCTTAAGGACTCTTGTAATCCAGTGTAATCCAATCTCTTCCCTTCCTCTCAAGGTCACACACTTTTGAAACTTTGTCTGCTGAGTGAGCACTGACACAGGGGCACCCTGTGTAGGGTTACATGTCTCATATAAAACTTAAATGCAGCCCTTGCGGTAAATGTCGCTCTTTGGATGTGAGTCACACAGTGATTACTTATCGTGTGCCGCTTTGTGCGCGAGTGGCGTGCGGGAGGCCGAGAGAAACATGGCAAGACATTAATGAGCGAATGTTTCAAAAAAGAAAGCTTGTATTGAAGATCTTTGCTTGCTAAACATGGTTTTAAATGACATTTAAAATAGCACAAGGGCCGACTGAATTATTGACAGGGATTAATTGAGGTACATGAGTTTAGAGAGATGCTTGAAGGGTTTCATTTAGCACCCCCTGGTGTTCCAGCAGGGGATGAGCAGAGCAAACAAATCCTCAGAGGGCTGCAGGGTGATTTTCGCCACTCTTGTGGCAGAGGGGCGGTCTGTTCCCTTACCCCCAACCCCTGACGAAAACTGGGTCGGTGATTGTAATGGCGTTCGCTTGGTGTGCAGGTCGACCCCGGAAATACGGGTCGAGTGGGTCCCACTGAGGCAGCGCTGTTCCTCAAGAAATCGGGCCTTCCTGACATCACCCTGGGAAAGGTGGGTGAGCGTGGGCCGTGGGGGGGGGGGGGTGTGTGCAGGCCAGACCCCAAGACGGCCGTTACACATGGAGCACATGGCCTGCCTTTCTGCTGTCCCTCGTACTGGTGCAGGATCAGGGCACTGATGGCTCTTCATGTTCCCTGTCCCCCCCAGATTTGGGATTTGGCCGACCCTGATGGAAAGGGCTTTTTGGACAGACAGGTAGAGCGCCCCCTCGCCGGTCCGCAGCCCCTCTCCTCACACCGCCCATGTCCCCGTGACCCTCACATGTCGCCCCTGTCCTGTCTCTCCCAGGGTTTCTATATGGCCTTACGCCTGGTGGCCTGTGCACAGAGCGGTCAGGAAGTCACCCTAGCCAGCCTGAGCCTGAGCATCCCTCCTCCCAAGTTTGTGAGTAGTTTGTGTCCAGGCTCATCGCCGCGGGGGGGGGGGGGAGGGACATGGCCGCTGACCTTTGTCGTCCCCGTCATGCAGAAGGACACTAGCAGCCCCTCACTGAGCACGACGGCGCCTTCGACCGACTCCCGCTGGGCTGTCAGAGTAAGTCCTACCCCCTGTCAGTGTCTCCATTGGGGTGTTACTGCCTAATTCGGGGGGGTGCTTTGATGGGAGGGTGCGGCTAATGCTGCACTGCCCCCTTGTGGCGTCCCACGCAGCTCCTGTGCAGCGGGTAGTGAGGGCTTTCCGCTACCTATGACATCATAGGCTTCTGACTGTGATGCGGATCAGAGGATGGAAACCATGGAAACCTGCACATCATTAAGCATGGAGGGTTTTTATAGCTCACCTTTTTTAAAAAAAAAACTGTATATATATTTGTGTTTGTATGTGTGTGTATTTTTTTCATTGTGTATATAATGTGTAGATGTGTTTGTGTGTGTGTATTTGTAATATATATGTGTATATCAATTCAGTTCAATTTAAATTTAGTTTATATAATGTCCTTCACAACAAAGTGGCCAGCAGGTGCTCTATGGGAATGTTTAGTGGTGCATTACATCATCATTAAGAAAGAATAATGCAATAACGGGGAAAAGGGAGGATAAAGAAATGAAAGAAAGAAAAAGAAAGCCTGATGACAACGGAGGAGAGGAACCAAAAACTCCCAAGTGGGGAGAAAGAAAATCAAGGGGGTCCGACATCAACTAGCTGCCCCCCCCCCCCCCCCCCCGAGGAGAGGAACCAAAAACTCCCAAGTGGGGAGAAAGAAAATCAAGGGGGTCCGACATCAACTAGCTGCCCCCCCCCCCCCCCGGGCATGCTGACATTATTGAAAAAGAAATGTATATACGTATATTCCTACATATTTAATATCGTGCATGTAAAATTGCTCCGCAGGTTTGTGTCGGTTGGTTTGCTTGTCCTCTGAAGGCCGGATGAGAAGCATCTCTGCTGACATAAGATGGGATTCAGCATCATGTTACACTGTCATATTGCATACTGTATGAAATCAAATGTATGATCCGATTGCACACAGATTTGCTTATGTGCCGTTTCTTCTGCAGCCAGAGGAAAAGAGCAAGTTTGATGGGATTTTTGAGAGCCTGGTGCCCGTGAACGGCCTCCTGTCGGGTGAGAAGGTGAAACCGGTGCTCATTAACTCCAAGCTACCTCTCGACGTCCTGGGGAGGGTCAGTGTGCCTGGCAGGCTTTTACCAGCCCTCGGTCTTCAGAGCTCATGTTCCTTCTCTGGATATTTAACCTTAGTTCTATGTTCGTTCTTGACCCTGCAGGTCTGGGATCTCAGCGACATAGACAAAGATGGACACTTGGACAGAGATGAGTTTGCAGTGGTGAGTTCCTCCCTTCCTGATGATTAAATGGCATCCTGACTGCATGCCCCACTTTGACTTGTATCCATGGTAACTCCCGTCTCCCCCCCCCCCCAGGCCATGCACCTTGTGTACCGAGCCCTGGAGAAGGAGCCGGTGCCCCCCGTGCTTCCTTCCTCCCTCATCCCCCCCTCCAAGAGGAAGAAGCCAGCGGTGGGGCTCCCGGGCTCCGTCCCCGTGCTGCCGGCCAGCCCCCCGCCCCCCAGGGACAGCCTGCGTTCCACGCCGTCGCATGGCAGCATGAACTCTCTGAACAGCGCTGGGAGCCTCTCGCCGAAACACACGCTCAAGTCATCGCAGGTGCGCGACGTCTGCCGACGGGGGCCTCGCTCGCCCCGTTTGCCGACGGGGGCCTCGCTCGCCCCGTTTGCCGACGGGGGCCTCGCTCGCCCCGTTTGCCGACGGGGGCCTCGCTCGCCCCGTTTGCCGGGCCGGGCGTCTGGGGCGCTTGCTGAGTTCTGCAGCGTAATTTATTGTTGGTCTCAACTGGGCTGACTGTCCCGATCCTCGCCATGTGCAACTGAAATGTGCATAACATACAGTATCGACAGTAACCAATCGCTCATGGAGCAGGCTTAGTCCTCGGGGCTCAAACGCCCGTGCTTTCCGTTTCGGCAGCATTCGGTGAACTGGGTGGTGCCTGCGGCAGACCGTGGACGCTACGACGAGATCTTCCTGAAGACGGATGCTGACATGGACGGCTACGTCAGCGGCCAGGAGGTCAAGGACATCTTCATGCATTCGGGTCTCTCTCAGAACATGCTGGCACATATCTGGTGAGGCTGGGTCCCATGCCTGGGGCTGTATTTGGGGGGGGGGGGTGAATTACTGATGACTGGTATAGAGGCAGGCTTGGGCAGGGATGGACGTAACTGGTACACAAGTACGCGTTCACCTTTAAAAAGGATACATGTGTTAGCGTATGTGTGTACTTACGTGCATTTGCACTGATATGAAAAAATATAATGCATTTTAATCTTAATCTGCTAACTCATTTGCGGTATACAGGTTAAAATGCAAGGTATTTTCTTGTCATATCAGCGCAAATGCACATAAAATAAGTACACGTTTGCGCTTTTACAAACAATCGATTGTCGCACGTATCGTTTTTAAAGGTGAATGCATACTATGGTATACTATGGTAATTTTGGCTTGCCTCAGTGTTTTTGTTCGCTGAATCATGGGGACCAACCCCCTCCAGTGACTTTATCGCCAAACAGTTAATCGTGCTGGAATAGATTTACTTTTTAAAATGCTGTATACCGTGGTGTAATGTCTGGATGGCATGATGGAATGAAAAATCAGATCAGAGCAGGATGCCGCTTCCTTCATGGCCGTGCTGTCTGTGCCCCTGACGGGATGCCGCTTCCTCCATGGCCGTGCTGTCTGTGCCCCTGACGGGGTGCCGCTTCCTTCATGGCCGTGCTGTCTGTGCCTGAGGTCGGATGCCGCTTCCTTCATGGCCGTGCTGTCTGTGCCCGATGTCGGATGCGGGTTCCTTCATGGCCGTGCTGTCTGTGCCCCTGACGGGATGCCGGTCCCTTCATGGCCGTGCTGTCTGTCCCTGAGGTCGGATGCCGCTTCCTTCATGGCCGTGCTGTCTGTGCCCTGCACTGTGCCTGTAGGGCCCTGGCCGACACCAGGCAGGTGGGGAAGCTGACACGGGAGCAGTTCTCTCTGGCCATGCACCTCATCCAGCAGAAAGTGAGCAAAGGCGTGGACCCTCCGCAGACCCTCACACCTGACATGATCCCGCCATCTGAGAGGGGCACACCTGTCACCGTGAGTACCTCCTCCCACCTCTCCTCACTCATGAAGCCCGCAGCACTGACCTTCTCCTGCACGTCTATGGATTTCAAGCACCGGCCTGTTGCTGCTGGACACAAACACCGTTAATCAGTGCCGGTCTGTCTTAGAGCAGCCTGCATGTTTAAAGAGTCCTCCTGCTTTCTGCTCCTCTCTGTTGCTCTCTGCTCCTCTCTGTTGCTCTCTGCTCCTCTCTGTTGCTCTCTGCTCCTCTCTGTTGCTCTCTGCTCCTCTCTGCTCCTCTCTGCTGCTCTCTGCTCCTCTCTGTTGCTCTCTGCTGCTCTCTGCTCCTTTCTGCTGCTCTTTGCTCCTCTCTGCTCCTCTCTGTTGCTCTCTGCTCCTTTCTGCTGCTCTTTGCTCCTCTCTGCTCCTCTCTGTTGCTCTCTGCTCCTTTCTGCTGCTCTTTGCTCCTCTCTGCTCCTCCTGTGTGACGTGTTCAGGGACCCTGTCCTTAGCCTGGCTTCCTGTTTCTTTCTGTTCTGTTCAACCTGTTTGCATCTAGTGGGTAGCGGGTGCTACTGTAAGTCCGCAATATCCTTGATTATTAGTGTATGTATCTTATCCATCTTTTCTGTCTATCTCTCCCTCTCTGTATTTCTGTCCCTCTCTCTCTCTATCTGTAAATGCATAGCATTTAATGAGCTCTGATTTACCAGATAGACTGCATCCCTTCAGTGTCTGTACAGCCCCCGCCTCCCATGACAGGCGGTTCACCCGCGGCCGCCCCTCTGTGGCCCAGACTCTGCCGTAACTCTCCGCCTGCTCTGCTTGACCTTTGATCCCTCGTGTCTTTTCCTCCATCTCTGTGCAGAACCTTTCAGGCTATATGACTCCAGTAGGATCTGAAATGGCTGCACTAACAGACATGCGCCGTGTGAGTAACCCCTCCCCCCACGTTATGCGGTGCCCCCCCCCCATCCGTGGGCCATGTCGCCACCCTCTCTAGATCTGAAGCCACACCCCCCTTCTTCGGGTGGTGTTAGTGTTATGGGGCAGGTCTGCCTGATCCTCCATATATCTGTGATCTGGTGACATGACGCGGTGCTGGCTGGATCAGGAAATGTTCAGAACCAGGGTGGACTTCATAAAGTAGCGAGTTAGGATGCTGTGCTTGTGATAGGAAGGTCACCGGTTCACGTCCCAGGGTGACGTCACTTCCGGGCCCCTGAGCGAGGCCCTTAACCACCACCGCTCTGTCGTCTGACCCTCCTGTCTCAAAAACAGTGTGGTGCTTTGAATAAAATCACCTTCCAAGTAAATGAAAATGTGAAAGGTGCGTAACAGCCATGTTGTTTGTTTATATTTCATTGTTAATTCTTCTGTTGTCAGTGACGCAATGGTAAATTCACCAAAATGGCTGTAATACCTGTAATAGCAGGGCCGGAACAAACTGCGATCAGGTGACCGTAAGTGGTCTCCCCTGGGGAATAGGGCCACCTGTGCATAGGCAGCGTTGCTGCACCTTTAACTGTAAACAGGCCAGTGTCTCTGTCACATTGTTGGCACTGAAAGGACATGCGGTTCAGTTATGGTCCGTTAACGGTAACTAGTGTACGGTTTTTCTCTGCTTTGAATTGCAATGCTGCTGATGTTTCTGAACTGAGAAGCGAATTGCTGTCTGTAGTTGTGGGTATGTAATAAGCACACAGCACATGCATTTGCTGGCCTGTTTGGGGGGGTTGTGCAGTTGCCCCTCCCTTTGTACTGCCTTCAGCCTGCTCTTGTCCTCCTTCCTCTTCCCTCCAATGCTGTCATCATTTTGTCCACCCCCCTCCAACTCTCCTGTACGCCCCGCTGACCCTTTCT